ATGTCAATTTGATATATCCCGGTGAAGATGAATTTAAAGACATCACAGAATCTGCCGCATCCGTTTCGGATGTTTTACTGACTATAGATAATAATAGACTGTTCAGCTAAAATGTACGCATGACAAACGAAATGAGTTCAACACTTCCATCGATATAGTGAACATTCCTTATGTATGTAGTTATATCCACCCAATCATCTGTGTATGGAGTCTACATTTCCCAACTTATTGGATACTTAGGATCATGCTCACAATGCGATCAGTTTTTAAACTTAGACAGGCTACACTGATAGATAAATTTTAATGATTATTAGAGAAATTTGAACATCCTTGTTTTAAGTCAGCATTTAGTTAATTCCATGGTGGTTAAAATGACCTTGTTAGTAAATATAACCCATCATTTGGGTCTTATTTTGTCTTAATTGTTTTGAACCAATTGTAACTGAAAATGCCTACGGAATGTTCCGTCTACCAGATCAATACATTGGGCGTATGCCGGGTGTGACTGGTATAAGGAATTAAAATGACATTGGTAACAGATAAAACATAAAGGTCACATCAAGAGACTTTAATTTTCACTTTTTTATTTAAATTAAATTTAAATTCTGAGAAAATTAATTTTGCAAATGATCTGCAACAAGATAAGTAAATTTAAGAATTTTTTTTTTCATTTTTTTTAAATAAAGCAGCTGCCTATGTTAAAAAGCATGTTGTAAATTGGTCACAGAAAGAAATGAAAAGTATACTATTGACTTGCTTGTCATGATCGAGAAGAAACGGAGAAATCTGTCGACAATAAATAAGTAATGAAAAGCGTTATTTTATACAAAAAATCCAAAGCTCTTTTGAAAAATTAACCACATAGTATACTTGATGCTGTGTTATTTGGAAGAAATTAGAGATACAGCAATGACAATCAACTGAAAGATTATATTTTATCATCAAATTATATGATAATGTGAGCTATTGTAAAATATTCATTTTTGGCGAGATATGGTTTTCATTTCCACTAAATCTTTGACAGATTGAGAAGTTGTTCTCTTCAGAATTTATGAAATTCCTGTGTTATGTTAAAAAAATTATCAATACGGTATAAAGATACACGTGTATTTTTAATATTTACAATGTAGTAAACACCAAGTTTTACTCAGTACATGTGTACATGTACTTAATTACCATATCAGGGCTAAATACGTAACATGCCTAAAATACAATTAATGATTATATCATGAAAGGAAGAGACATTCCAATATAGTTTTAATTTCCAATTGATAAAAATCTTCACAGCTGGTTAAAATGCAACAATAAATATTCAGTTATAAAAAACGGATTATGAGACAAAAATGAAAAATTCAAAACGAAAAACATATGTCAACAAACCAATGACTATTTAATACGACACAGTAAAGTAGAAAAAAATAACAATCAATGTCTCCATACATAAAATTATGTACAAAAATATCTTCTTTAACAAAACTGCGACTTAATTTCAACGGTGCAAAATTTTATGCAAGTGTGAAAGGGCAAAAATAAACATGATAAAGGTGGGCGAAAATAACCCTTCATTTTCATTTCATACGGAAATACAATTAAAAATAACTTTATCTGGTAATTATTGAAACTCCTGAGTGCGTTTGATTGATATATCCTTGTACTTTCATAAAGCAAACATAAGAAAAATTAAAATGTTGTTGTGTATTAATAAAAAATACAAAATAGGAGCAGAGCACACACGGGCATGCAATACATCAGAGGTGGGAGCAGGTGCCATGGAGGAGTGAGCATCACCTACCGACCGGTCACACCAGCCATGTGCTCCTTGTCATGATCGGGAAATAACGGAAAAATCCGTCGTCAATTCAGTGTATATACTTTAAACGAGGCTGTTGATATTCTTGTTTCATCAATTTGTTTGTCAATAAATTACCTCGTTTTAGAAGTTGTTCATGCGTAGAGCACGTTCTTGCGTATCGAATCAGCTGAGATATATATATACATATGTACATGTACTCCGTATGCAGGTGACAAAGGCATCTTGCTGCATAAGCAAGGGAAGTTGACGATAGATAAGTGATCCCGTTTATCATAAGGCTTGGTTGTAAGATTACCATTGACGTCTTTTTCTAGTAAAATATCCAAGTATGAAACAGATGTGTCAGACTCTGTGGTATTTTTTATCTCAAGCTCACCAGGATATATCGTATCGACATAAGAATGGAAATTACCATTGTTGATTGACAATACGTCGTCGATATATCTAAATGTCGAATTGAAGGCCACAGCAAGTTTTTTTTCTTTTCTCGCATAAGAGTTTGCACAAATTCCGTTTTGATATGAATACAAAAATGGATCTACTAATAACGGGGTGCAGTTGGTATCCATGGGAATTCCACTATATTGTTGGAAGACCTGGTCTCCAAAAACAAGATAGATTTCAGAAACTCAAGCATCTTTTTGATATCAACTTCAGAGTACTAGTGTGTACAATCAGAATGATTTTTAACAAAATTATTTTGCGAATGACCAATGGCAAGGTAAATAAATTTACGAGTTACATTTTTATTACGAAAACAGCTGTCTATATCAAAAAGTCTGGACTTTAATTTATCGTGGGGAATGGTTGTGTATAAAGTGGAAAAGTCGTAAGTTTTAATAAGTTGTTGATTTTGGTAAAAGTGATTTCAAATTGTCCAAATCGTCCGTAGAATTTTTTTGTATCCACATCCGATTTACACCACTTCTTTAATATATTGTTGCACAATATCTTGAAGTTTCTCCTTTACTAATGTATCTCTGTTGAACAGACTGCTAACATAGATGCTTGGTGTTGAAGTTTGAATAAAAATATATCAGTAAAAACTAACTTTTGGGACAAAAAAGTTAATTTCCAGCGAAAACAAATACATGTATGTAAACTAAGATATAGAAAAGTACCCTCTTTTTTATTAAAACTTTATGTACTGCAAAGTTTAAACAAAGTAGGCATCTTGGATTTGGTAATTAGCATTAAATATTATGATGCTAGCTACATGTAGCTCTCCCTACGTAGCGGCTAGATTAGCTCTCCTTTCAGGACGACGGAGAAATACGCTGTTGAACGCACCCCAGATAATTCAGAGTAGAAATGTGGAAAACAAAACCACCTCTACAGTATTGTCAGTCCGTGCTCAGAGATGTGTGCAGAGTAAAACACACTGAACATACCCTGTGAAACGTAAACATTAACAATATCAGAGCTTGTGTCCTGTTTACAAAAACGCTTTATGTTTCATGGATGTACTGGTATTCAAATTGTTAAACTCTGCACGCATCACTGAGCACGGACTGACAATATTGCTGAGTTGGTTTTGATATCTAACATTTCTGGAGTTTAGGTTAATATTGTTCATTATCTCTACTTTTCTTGAGTATTACATGTAAGGATAAGTTTACTTAGTGAAAGTGCAAATATTTGTCAATCAAACTCGTCCCAAAATTCGTAAATTCAATAATTTTCAGATAAACAGTTTTTTTAAAATTATATTGCCATGAGAAATGCTATAACAACATGTAAGTCATGATATTATACCTAAAATTTAAGGAAATATTAACTTCAAATCAGAAGGTGGATTTCCATTAATTCATAATTCTTGCATTTCCTTTTGCCCAAACACTATGTACAGTATATACTGATATCTGTTCAGTCATTTCACAGAAAATGAAGACATAAGAAAATTTTATATAAGGATGCACATGTGGTGCACACTCACATACACGGGTACAAATAAACGTAGACAGTTCTATATAACCTGAGGGAATTATGTGACATTAAGATAAAAAATCTATTAAACACATGAAATATATATATTAAAAGGTTTACAGTAAGGGGGGGGGGGCTAAATTGGGTTGTAATAGGTAAAATACTTTATTTCCAAAGAATGAAATTTCAACCTGAAAAATTACAGGGCAGTTGACAATATGAATATTTTTCTGCATAGACCTTTAATGTTTGATGCGGTATCTAATGGTGTCCTGCCAAAAAGCAATATTAGTTGCAATAAAGGGTGCACAATAATTAAACATGTTTTCTACCAGTTCTATAGTTTTATAGATCAGTATTAGTTCATTACAATTGATTGACCTGATTTCTTCAATTGTCACAGAGCTGAAAACATCAAAAGGTAGTGATTACAAACTAGATTCACTCTATGAAATAATTGTGGCAATATAACATTATTATTCTAATGAAAAATTCATCTCGCTCTTGGATAACTGAATTTTCAGATCTTTTGCAATATTATTCTTAATGCAGAAATGAAAGAATTCTCCAAACTTGGTTTGGGAATAAGCAAGAAACACAGGGGAAAAAAGAAACTAAAAATGTAGGAGAAGAAAATTCTTGATTCTCAAAATCCTCAGAAACTTCTAGATATGATGCTTTATTTAATTTGACTTAATTTTGCATTGAGAGCTTGAAAAGAATATCTCAATTTGCATGTTGGAGAAAATGCACAACTGTTTTTGAAAACTTCTGCTGTTGACGGTAGACGATATCTGCATTACAGGGACAAAATATGGAAATGTGCAATTGGGGTTTAAACAGTTGGAAAAAGTAATGATGTGTTTTATAGACTTATGGAAACATTTTAAATAAACATAAACATGTTTTGAAAATAGACACACACAAACGATAACCATGGTCAGTGAAATGTGCTTTCTGAATACGATTCATTCATCATTTACATTTTAGATTATTTACAGTAAATGGGGTACCATTAATTGGATTTCTTTACACCTTTAGCATCAAATTCCTATACTTCAAATGACCAATTTTAAGTTCATTGTATTATCAAACTAGATATGGATTTAACCAGCCCCCCCCCCCTCCCTTCCAAACCCCCTCTTGTGAAATGGAACCACTTTCCATTCACATTATTTTTTTTGACAATCAATGGAACCACTTTCTTTTCACATTTTTGATAATCATACTGTGGAGGAAACTCAACATATAGATGAATAACCAGCCATGTTGTGATTGTGACCTGGCCTGAGAATTGGAATGTATCAGAACGAAGTTGTTCTTCATTGTCCGATGATAAAGAGGTTACTTTCCACTTCATATCATCAAAGATTTATTTTGATGCACAGATTATTCACCTTGCAAGTTTTTCATTGTTTATCATTTGTCCTCTCTACTATTGGGCACATATTAATCACTTTTACCATTGGGCACATACTTGTACCATTGGGCAGATATTAATCACTTGTACCATTTGAAACATAATCTGTTGCACCGTTTGACACATAGTCTGTTGTACCATTTGGTACATAGTCTGTAGCACCATTTGGCACATATCCTGTTGCATCACTTAGCACATAGTCAGTTGTACCATTTGGCACATATTCTGCAGCACCATTTGACACATGTCCTGCTGGACTACATGGCACATGTTTTGTAACACTGGAAATATTATCAGCTGTGTCATCTGGAACATAGGTAGGTACATAATTCATCCCAGAGAAATTTTTGGTATCTTTTGGCACTTTATCGGATGTACCATCAGATAAATGACTTGTTTTGCCATTAGGCAATGGATCTGATGTCGCATTTGGGACATAATCAAAATTCATCACAGAAAGATCATTTGCATTACCAGCTGCACAATTAAATATCAAGGAATTTTCTTTATCATTATGAGAGGCAGCAAGTTCTGCAAAATTTGTATTATGAGGGAGGTAGTTTGTAATCTGTTCTGATTCGGCTGTTAGAAGCTGTGGACTAGAACCCATCTCAGTGGTCCGGCGCTCTGTATCCAGTGTTCTATTGGGATGGTACCCTTGTGAACTTATTTTTTTGTCAGTTTGGCACATATCTGTCTCTTGTTTAATTTCTATTCCACCATTTGATTGGTCATTATTCAGCTGATCAACAGGTGATCTCTGTAACTTGCTACACTGGTTTTTAGCACTGTTGGATTGGTTTGTAGAGATGGTCTTTGTAATGTTGGGAACAGTATTCTTAAATTGAACATTGTATGGTTGATGTGCTTGGTTGGTCTGTGTAATGTTACATGTAGGAGTGGTGGTCTCCGCTTGGACATTGTTGATTTGGTTTTCCATGGTGGTCTCTGTAGATTGGACATTGTGTGGTTGGTGACCAGTGGTGGTCTGTGTTTTGTCATATGTAGGAATAGTGTTCCTAGGTTGGACATTGGTGATTTGGCTTCCTGCGGTGATTTCTATATCATTAGATGAGTACATCACATAACCTGATGTCTGCTCAACTTCATCTTCTTTGTTTTCAAGTTTTTCTTCTCCACTCCTCCCCAATTCATTGTTTACTGGGCACTTCTTGGAGGATTCTTCAATCTGTTGTTTGTCATTGTTGTCTAAAAAAAAAAATTTTGCAAAAATGTTTGAAGTACCTACTATTTTTAATGAATATAATTTTTTCCCAACATTGACTGAATAAAGCTCGATGTAAGAGGACAAAATAGTTTTCAAGGACGTAAGAAAGCAAAACTTTCCAGCTTTTAAAATGACCAGAAAACAAAATGAAATTTAAATCTTTTGATTTTAAAAATTCTTCTGTAGTGCAGAAAATAATGCTCAAACACTCTAAATAGATAAAACGTTAACTTAGTTTCTTATGTTCTATTATATGTAAATTGCAAATACATGTAATATTAAATTATCTTGTAAAGTAAATTTGAAGTTAAAATTTTTATATTCAATATTTAGTAATAATTTCAATATTTAGTATAAATTCATTTAAAAGTGTTTGGGAATGCAGTGCAATAACCAATTTTTTTTGGAGTTTTTGGATGTTCTTGGGTACATACAATAAACCAACTTTGAAGGTGCAAATATTTGCGAGATTAGAAACCATCCATTTATAATTGTGAAACAGTTAATTTTAAACACACAATTTTACGAAATGGAAAACTTCAATTCATGAGATTGTGACAAAACATTTTAATTAATTTTTTTGCAATTAAATGTCATTTATAATTGGTTTACAGTATATTAAAGCAATATACTTGTTTTTCTTTGTGTCAACTGAAAACATCACATGAGACGTGTGCTGTTATAATCAGGGTTTTAGCGCAGGTAGTAGATCCAGATCTTTTTTTTATTAAAAACACACAAAAGGGTTGACATTTAGATACCCTTCATATCCATGAACTCTCCTTCTACATCCCATGGACTTATCTGCCTCGAGCTAAAAGGTTACACAGTTTTTGAAGATTTTTCTTTATAAAGTTATGAAATTGGCCCATATTGTACTTAAGATTGCTAATTATAACTACAATTGAACTTTGGTATCTCAGAAACCAATATCTCGAATACAATGGATATGTAAAAGTGACTTTGAAGTCTCAACCACTTGTCCTTAACAAGTAAGTGTTTCAACCTCGATATCTCGAATCCTTGGATGTATCAAAGTTTTTTCTAGGTCCCATTAAGTTTGAGATAACAAAGTTTGACTGTATTTACCTTGTAAGATGTCTGCCTGACTCTTGTATCCATCTTCTACTGGAATGCCACCGGACTGTGAAGAGGAACATAAACTATCCTTGTACGTTCCTCGGGAATCAGGGGGGAAACTGTCCTCAGTATCAAAGGAACCTTTCTCATATCCTTCAAAAAATGTCACCTGAAGTTATTAAATTTTTCATAAATATGAAAAGCAGAATTTTTAAAAACATTAATCATTCAATTACAAAGTAAAATGTACCAGAAAGGTTTAGGCTATATAGGTCTGATACATAGAGGCACTTATGAAAGCCAATAAAGACTGGCATTGCCTCCTTGTTAAGAATGAAACCTTCACCAGTATACAGAGAGGAACAGCCAGAAAACATCATTTATTCTACAGAACAGGGTTGTTTCAAGAAAAAAAAAGCTGTATGTTTCATAAGTTCTTAGTGATGATATTTTTTAAAGTACATGTATTCAATATTAACAATATGAATGTGTTCTTAGCAATAAGAAAAATCAAATACTGTACAGCAGATGAGAATCGTGTTGGAAAAGATCATGATTTGTTCAACTTGCAGCAAATTGCAGTCGTTGAATTCGTGAAAAGGAACAATTTTATGGAATTTTTTTGGCATTGCTGATATCTTTCAAAGATCTCAATAAAAAAATTTAATATGTTTAATAAAATTGATATTACATATATTATCATCATAATTCTATTACCATGCACACATTGGGTGGTAACTGACGTTGCCTTTGCATAATCGGGAGGAAGGTCCAATACAATATCTCTCAGAATTCGCTCTTTTGTGTCAGACTCTTCAGGTGGGCCGTGAGTTGACGTGGGGGACAGGCTTCCGTGACCGCTATCCTTACTGATCTGCCGTGGAACATCCGTGATCGGTAACGTTACCATGCTGGATTTAAGGTCGGGTTTGGAGTCCTTTGGTTCACCACACCCATCTTCTTCGTCAAGGTCCACTGTGGATCCCACTGGTAAGATTTCTTCATAACTGTGATTTACTCCATTATGTCTAATATCTCCATTTGATGACATTCCAATCTGAAGAGTAATGAAAGGACAATTTGATGAAAGTGAGGATAAATAAGAAATCAAAGGAAAATGATACCTCAAATATTATATACAAGTGGCAGTTTCATTCAGCTGCAGTGTATCGGATGGTGTGAAGAAATAAATAAATGCGGTTATGTGTAATATAGATACAAGTGAGAAGCTGTTACTATATACTTACAAGTGTGATGAGGGGAGAGCTGGATCTATCAGCTGGTACGGTGAGGTTATTATACAAATTGCTTCCAGTGGGCTAAAAAACAAAAACATAATTAACAAGAGTGAGAACAATATACTTATAGCAAGTACCCCCTCCCCCCTACAATAATGTTTTTTTCTATACGGACTTCCTGATCTTATACTGATTAATCTAAAGAAAGTTCATTTTGGAACTTTTTCTAGTTAGCTATTAGGTTTTTGCTAGTTAGCTATTAGATTTTTATTAGACATGCAGACAAAATTTTCGAGAGTGGTGATTTGTGTTGTATATAATATGTTATTATTCATCACATGTTCATTGACAAATGTATGCAAGAATAAAAATTTTTGCAAGCAGAGAGACTCTTGTAATTATGCTAAAATAAATTCTTGTGAATAAAAATGATTTACAGTAAGTCCAAAGTCTACATACCAAATTGATCATCAGATTGTCTGTGATTAAATATTTGACAAAACTCATACATACACGTACCAGATTTTCATAGGGCCTAACTTGTATATTCTCTATTTCGAATTTTTCATCCAGACCTAATTTACGTCTAACGAGCCTGTAAAGGATAAAAAACTGATAAACAATACCTTCAAGTAAAATGAGTATTTATATATAAGCTGAAGTTCACCTTCATCAAAACTCATATTTGATGATGTTTCTATTGTCAAATTGTCCTAAACTTGAAAAATATTTTTAAAGGATAAACCCAAACACATGATATTTCCTAATAATTACACTCAATGACATACATGCAAGTCCTGTACATGTAATGCCCTTAATAGAATACGGTACTCATTGAATAAAAAAAAATTCACATGCATTTTCAGGTAATCCATGAAATATTCTATTTATTATGATACTTTGGACTTAAACCTTTCCGCGCAAAAACACAAACCTGCAAACAAACACGAATCCTGCATTGACAAGTATAAGAACAAATATTCCTCCGATAGCAATGCCAGCTATTGATCCCCCTGGTAAATCTACAAAGACAATATTAATATATTAGTTTTATAATATAATATAAATGTTTAAGGTTATAGAAATTAGAGATATGGCAGAGTTCTTTGAACAAAATAAAACAGGTGCAGGCACAATAGTATGGACCAACCTCAATTTCTTTCTAAAAAGGACCATGTTATGGTTTTTTAAATCTGGTAAAATAGCTCTTTCATTTTAACTTTGTATTATATCCCTTATAAATTCCTGTATCACATGAAAATACAGTTCATGAAAGCTCTTATGCATATTAACCTCCGGGCCATTACTTTTCTCAACATATGTAGCAATTTAAAAGTTGTGAGGGGCACAAAGAAAGATAAATCTTCTAGATTTTTTGTCTGTTGTTTAACATCCCTCTATATAATTTTTGATGAAAGTACAGTTTAAGCGGAAGAAAAAATAATGTTACCGTTATTGGTAGGTCGTCCAGTCACCATTTTACTTCTACGCCCCTCCTTCGTGAGTGACATGGCTTGTACCCACACACCATATTCTGTGTCTGCCTCTAAGTCTCTTAGTGTGTACTGTGTGGTACTGTCTGCTAGAACACTCACAGAATATTCCCTGCCTATAAATCAAAAAAGGTTCATTACTAACTCCTTAAAGATGATAAAGATTAGATTTATTTCAAAGACACTTCATCTAAAGTTTTGCAACTGAAAAATTTGCTTTATAACATAAAACCAATTCATCATTATTCATTATTAATAATATTACAAATAGTATGTAACAAAATATTTGAAGAGCAAATTAAGACAACACCATGAGTTATGCTCAGACCTTTACAGGATCCTTGTGTATTCATCTGGCAGTAGAAGATCTGGTACATCTTGATGTAGGCGTTATCTGAAGCCCCTGAGTCACAATTGAGTGGACTCCAGGCCTCCACCAGGCTGTTTTTAGGGGCAATGTTGAATGTTTCTTTTGTTTTGAACCAACTTCATGTATTTGGATTACAAACTTCTTACAGAGCTATTAATATTTTTCTTTACCTGTGTAGGCCGGTATGTATATAGTAGAGTCTGGTGAACATCCCAGCTGGTTACATCCTTGGACGGTTATGTTACGGCCTCCACAAGGGATGTTAATAGTAGCTGATGTCACATTTGGAGCCACTATCTTCCAATCTCCATCACCTAACACCACCCTGTATTCCTTCAAAGGTCCATTTTGAAATCGACGCGGAATTTTCTACAGAATAAATCATAATAATAGTGCTTTTGAGGAATGAAGACAATAATTGAGATGCAAAATTTACTATTTATAATTACTGTAAATCACTTTTTATTCGTCAGAACTTTATTAAATTGACGCAGAATTTTCTACAGAATAGTGCTTTTGAGGAATGAAGACAATAATTGAGATGCAAAATTTACTATTTGACTGCCGTCATGAAAAAGGGCCCTTAAGGTCAAATTTTCACAAATTGACTTTTTTGTAAATTTTGATAGCCGGACTCTTTCTGAATGCAAATATACATAAATTTTGAAAATATCTCACTTTTTCGATATTTTATGAGCATTTTAGTAAAGCGAACCAAAACCAATTTTGACGTTACTCACTGAAAACGTAATGACGTCGCCTGCGTCTAATTCAGTTTTCAAAAAATCTTAAAATTACATGTTATTTAAATATCCTCAATCGTTTTGAGAATTAAAAACTCGAAAAAGTATTTAATTTTTTCTTTCAGACGACTAGTATGTAACTATTCCCAAGGGATTTATGTTTCCGGGCTGCTCTATGCATATAAGTTTAAGTGTTGGTGTATGGGGATTGGGGTGGGAGTAGTTATTTAGAATTAAAGGTTTTCTAAACATTGAAAAGATTGTTAATCAGTATGTTTTTTCCGTTTATAAATTACGAGATACATAATGTGTTAACTTCCATGAAGTGAATCTGTAAAAATGTATATGTTTTTCACATTTAATATATAAAGTTGCTTATCATTTACTATCGTATTTTTTTAGAACATCAAATTTTACTTCTCAGATAAAAACGTATTCTGCACAGTTCATGTTTTATATTCTAAAATTGAAAATTAATAATTTTTAAATATAGGTGATGCATGTGTCTAACTTCAATTTATATTTTATGCAGCCAAACTTTACTTGAGGAATTGATCAAGTTTAAAATTGTATCGTTTTTGATTGATTTTTATCCGACTACAAGTTTTCAAAATATTCGTGACTATCGTCTCCATCAATTTCACACATTGATGAGCAAGACTCATTTTCATTGTTTACTTTATATATTTCCCGGGCGACAATTGATGGTTACATCAATGTTTTCTTGTTACTATTTTATGCTAATTTAGAGCAGATCTCATGAAAAATCTAGGCACAGACACCGCGCAAATCCCGATATTTAAAAAAAATATTTTGAGCCAGCATTCACTCAACAACACACACGCACGTAACTTTATTCCCTATAATTCTTACGATAAAAAAAAAACATCATGCAATTTCTGTATCACCGAGAAATTCAACTGAGAAAAAAAAATCAGATAAGTCAAGATATGTGTATGTAAACTTGTTTTCAAAAACGTTTAATATATACGTTCCCTTCTTCCATGCAAGCGGTTTATAAAATTTTCACGTCTCTGAATATTTTATTAAAAATGTTTAAAGCTCTAAGTTTCCATTGTTTATACAATTTATTTTCTTTGCCAGTCTTAGTTATGGAGTAGAAACGTAGTAAATAGGCAAATAAAGGACAAATGAATGATTTACATACCGTACCTTAAATTGAATTTTGTTTTGAATTTATACCTCAAATTGAAACCGTCTTTTAACTTATTTTTTTTTAAAGTAAATGACAATTAAAATCGGTTACAAATATTTCTGCACATTAACCCTCCCCCCCCCTTTTTTTTTAACCCTGTTTCACTTAAACACAACATTTGTATATTTCTTACAAGGACCGCTACTATGATCTCAAAAAAAATGATTTATGTATAATATTGTATAATTTAATCAAAGAGATGGGAATTGTGCTGTTCTCTTCTCTTTTTATTACATGTACACTAAAAGGTGCTTGCGAAATTACAGTTCAATTAAAATTTTGATAAAATCTATTTGAAACTTAAGCTGAATGAATACTAATATATCTTTACGCAAGAACGATTATTTCAGTTGTGGGCACTTTCAACTACCAAATTTTCCTTGATAAGCAAAACAATTTTTTTACGGCAAAGATATGGTATCTATTCATTTTCCTCCGTGACAAAGGCTAATTAACTTGATACCTTATAAGCTTTTCACATTTCGATGCGATTGTCTTATCCAATAATAAACTATTACGTCCAACATACGTTAATATAGCCAACATAGTGTGTGTGATATTATTACGATGTTATTTCTCAAAAAATTAGTAGTTATAATTGGTGTTTTTAATTCTCAGAGCTGGCTGGAAATCAGTCTCAGTATAATGGAAAACTTAAAGGCAGAGAAAGCAAAATATCATGGGCTGCAATATTCAATTTATGCTTTTTTATGAGGCGATTCTGTTAATTAAGTAATAATATAACGCTCTTATTTGACTCGCTTTCGCTGAAAATATTTAGGCAAACCATTTTCAATAGTTATTATTTCAGAACATACATGTACTTAACACATCAAAATTTAAAAAAACAACAACATTTGACTCGTACCTTCGCCTGTCCCCACACAACTCGTTCGAAAAAGAGGGGGGGGGGGGTTCAGCCAGAAAAAAAAATTACCGTAAAATAACTACTCAGCCAAAAAAGGGGGTGTCGAAACTCGAATCCAATTTTGTCGTTGGGGAGGGGGCTAGGTTCAGTCTTCTTTCAGTATCAAATTTTCTTAATCAAACATAATACACTGCCTTATTCCTTTGCCCTGTAGTGCACGAATTTGACTATGCTGCAACAAAAAGTGTGTATGTGTGTGTGTGTGGAGGTTGGGGGGGGGACTTTCAATGTAACCTCCCCCCCTTGCTACTGTCTTGCGTGCGACTGTAATGGCCAATATTTTCTTTAAAAGAAGAAATAATTGTGTTTGTTTACTAATTACTTTCCGTAGCTATAGAGTCATGTTAGGATTATGATATAAAGTCTTATCTAGTTTTCAACGGAACTTTAAGAAATTGATGTCATTTAAGTTTTTAAAGATTTTAAACATTTTCATAACTTTTGGAAATTACACCCATAACAATTTGTCACATACTTTTTGCTCTTTTAGTGATGTATTCTCAAGAGATGTAGCCATATATCTTATGTTATCCAGAAATTCGCGATCGTACGCCTTTTGCTTAATCTATAGTTTTTTTTCTTTTGATTTATAAATATCCTCATTCATAATATCACTGTCGATGTAATATTGTTAATTTTTTCAACATTGGGTATAATGCTTTTGGGAAAAGTCTACAATAGCTGTATATTTCATTTCTTAACATATTGCAAAATAGGTTCCAGTGGGATTTCATTCATTCGATCGTTTCATCGGAACAATTTTAAGAATTTGAAACTATAGTAATTTCAACATTTTAAATTAATTTTTGAAACAAAATTTTTTCGTGGCATCCCCATCATTATTCGATTACTGTTAATTTAGTAAAAAAATATTCATTATTGATGTAGAAAGTTTGGATCTCCCATGTTACCAGTATCTTTATTCAGTCAAAGAGGGATTATGTTTCTTAGCTTTAACTTTTACCGTTTTTTTTTTATTCGGAGATATTTTTGTCTTATATTCTTACCCCCCCCCCTTTTTTTTTTTTACACACATTTTAAAATCGACAGTTCCCTGTAGGCTGGTTATCGGTGTACATCAGTATGATTAAATATGGTTAAGAATTAAAATAGCTAAATGCAATTTAAACTATGGTATATATTTTTCAGGAAAAAAGTAACGCTTTTAAGATGATTACTATGTGTGCATAACTCTCTCGCTCGCTCTTCTCTCTGTCTCTCTCGGCTCTCTCTGAAAAAAAAATATACATGTATATGGAATATACCTTTTAATATTAAGACCTCTTAACATGAATTTAAAATTAAGCATTTATATAAATTGCTCAGAAAACAAAAATGCAGCATCTTTAATTTAGTCATGCATAAACGATGCATAGACATCGTTTTAATCGCTGTTCCAGAGCTAGCAATGTACATGTTCAATACCCCGTATATCAACATTAATTAATTAAGTTATTTAAAAACTTAAACAAAATTATGAATACATTTATTTATTAAACTGTAATAATATCATATACCTTTTAAAAAATGTCCGCAGCAAGTTTTAAATTTTTGTTATCCTTGAAATTCAATTTTATTTCTTGTTTACAAAATGCAGTCAATAAAAATTACTTCCGTGTTTACAATACCGCGACTTTGACGTCGTTTTCTGAGCATTGTGACGTCAAAAGATAAGGGCCCTTTTCTCATGACGGCAGTCATTTATAATTACTGTTAATCACTTTTTATTCGTGAGAACTTTATTTTCTTAAAATTACCCGAGACAGTGTGCTTGCAAAAATTTCATTCTCATGTATATTAGAATTCATAAGATTATACATGTATAGAGGAAAAATTCCTATCTGTGAAAATTTGTCTCGCTAATTAAATTAAGAATGAGTTAATGACTATCTCATGAAAATAAGGTGTCACAAAAAATTAGTGAAATGAACAGTACGGCACTATGTGAATATATCAATATTCAGTGTAAAAAAAGGATTTCCTCAACCTTAAGCTTTCAGCTCAAGAGAGCTAAAAAGAATATACCAGAGTAAATCTTAATTTTCCCAATTTGACATCCACATTCTATAAGCTGTCAAACATTACAATGTTCAAAAGATCATATTATTTTATAGACATGGTGGAAATCTTATTCTTGTATCTAAATGGTCACTATGCATAATGAACTTTCGATATTTAAAAAAAAAAACCTTACCTCCCAGTAAACAGTGATGGAGCGATACCCCATTGTACAATCTCCTGAGGAAAAACCGCTGGACTGCAGGGGTGGAGCAAGAGAGGGGACTACAACAAAGGAAAGTTTCATGAAATATATGATGAAGAAATTCAGACATTTTCAAAGATAAAAAATAAAGGGTGATAAAGGAATTTCAAAAACAAACTGTCATATTGTAAGACTTATCAATTAATGAACATCAGCTTGGCCTACATTTTTGATAAATTGACTGACAACCATTTTTGCTTTTTAAACAATTAGTTGTATGATATGTACCAACATTCATTTATGTTAAATTTTTAAGAAAAGTTCTGGTATTTACATTGAACATTAATTTTTTAATTAAGTATATACCTGTTATACACTCTGAATTCCCTTTTTTTATGTATTCTACTTTGAGAGGAAAAGTAAAATATACTTTGGAAGAAAGTGCATCTATTCATTTTTAGCTCACCTGAGCCGAAGGCTCAAGTGAGCTTTTCTGATCAAAATTTGTCCGTCGTCTGTCGTCGTCGTCATTGTCGTCGTTGTTGTCGTCGTCGTTGTCGTAAACTTTTTACATTTTCATCTTCTTCTCAAGAACCACTGGGCCAATTTCAACCAAACTTGCTACAAAGTATCCTTGGGTAAAGGGAATTCAAGTTTGTTCAAATAAAGGGCCAAACCCTTTTCCAAGGGGAGATAATTATGAATAAGAGAAAAATTAATGGCATTTTTAAAAAATCTTCTTCTCAAGAACCACTGGGCCAGGAAAGATGAAACTCACGTGGAATCATCCTCAGGTAGTGTAGATTGAAGTTTGTTCTAATCATGACCCCCGGGGGTAGGGTGGGGCCAAAATGGCCGATCAAAGATTTACATAGGAGTATATAGGAAAAATCTTTAAAAATCTTCTCAAGAACCACTGGGCCAGGAAAGATGAAACTCATGTGGAATCATCCTCAGGTAGTATAGATTCAAGTTTGTTCAAATCCTGACCCCCGGGGGTAGGATGGGGCCAAAATGGCTGATCAAAGTTTTACATAGGAATATAAAGGGAAACCTTTTAAAATCTTCTTTTCAAGTACTTCAAAGCCATGATTAGTAATATTTATATGGAATTATCCTCAGGTAGTGTAGATTCAAGTTCGTTCAAATCATGATCCCCTGGGGGGTTAAAATTCAAGCCCCCCCCCTTCTCCCCCCCCCCCTCAGTAAACTTTCAGTTCTGATCTGATATGTGCTTTTTCCTAGCCGATGTGCTCAGGTGAGCGCTGTGGCCCCAGGGCCTCTTGTTATCAATATTGTATTGCTTTGAGAGTAAAAGTAAAGTATTACTCTGGATAAAAGTGCTACTATAGTTTAATTTATTCCAATAGCCAATGATAATGGTACAAAATACCTTAATCATATGTATAAGACCAGTGGTTAACAATACCTCTTTCACATGTGTCAAAGACCTTCTTTACTTCTTCACTGTAGTACAAGCCTCCTAAAGGTTTAATAATTACTGTAACTATGTATGTAGTGGCAGGAATCAGGTTACACACAATAAGGCTTTTATTAACATCAACATTGTGAACCTAGATATTCAAAAAAAAAAAATTAAACTGATTATCAGTACTGGAAAAATGTTCATGTATCTTGATTTTTTCAATTTTTTTGCATTTTGGTGAATACAATGGCAACAATTTAGAAACCCTTAATAAATGCAATATTTGTGCAAGCTAATATGTTGAAATGAATTCAAATACCGTATAAGCAGAATTTTTAACCAGGATTTGAATTTGGCATCATTAGCAAGGGTTGCTAAAATTGAATATTGCTAAAAATTGTGTTTTAGTTATAATAGCTTTCTTTAGTGAGCATTTTAAAATTGCTAAAATTACTTCTCCCTAAAAACCAATACTGATATTTAAGGGCAAAATTAGTAATTTTGCATTTTGCTTAAATTTTCACTTATACGGTATTGCATGTACTCAGTGGGTTGCTAGACTCTGCTATGATCCTTAAAAGGAAGAAAACTTGTATATTTTTTACCAGAGGGACACTGTTCCATTGTGACATCAGGATGACCTGAGAGAAGGTCTTGACCCCTCCTGGTATTGTCCCCCACGACACATTGGCACACCCACAGGAATCCAGGGATGAGGCATTGACATATTCTGTAGGCAAAGGTTTAGCTACAAAAATAAATTTAGATTAAAATTTAAATTGTTGGTACAATATACATATATTATACCTAAAATATAAACAGTCTTTGTGTGTATCCTCAGAAGAAACTTCTAAAACTAATCATGATCATATAAATATTGCATTGTAGTTGGGTGTAGAATTGAAAATTTTCACCTCAAGAAACTCGAGCCATTGTCAACCAAGGAGCAGTTGGGGTGAAAATTTTCAGTGTTACACTCAACTACATGCAATATTTATTAATATACTGAATGTTTCATTTAAATACATTAGGGATGGGTATCGCCAAACATTTTGATATATATATCACATTTTTCCCAAAAATATCACGATAATATCATTATATTTTTACAAGCAATTTTTTACAATGATTTTAAATGAATATTCATTATTTTTCTTAAAAATATGCTAGAAAAACAAATTTGAACTTTCTTTTTTTATCTACATAATATTTGGCATGTTTGGATGTTAAGATGCTGTCCTTTTTACCTTTTTCATCATTTTTTTTTTTTAGACTTTCTGTAATTGTAATTGAAAGATTGAACAAATAAATGAATAATTTCTGGACTTAATAATATGAACCTAAATATCAATATTTAAGTCTCTGTATCATGATACGTATCACGCAATTAAAAATCATGATATACCGCTATACCAATAAAATCTCACATCCCTAAAATACATAATAAAGTGAACCTTGCACTCATAAATTCATACCAGTCAACCTTTTTATGGAATATCATCTGTCGTTAAGCAATGTTGACAGTTGCTGCGCTGGATGGTGTGGCTTCATTATTCAGCGGGTATTAAATAGCGTTTTTTCACAAATGTTTCTCGACAAATCAGATTCAACCAATTTACATGAAAGTTTAATAAATACATAATCATCTTCTGCATACTCTCATCGACTGATACTCTCTTTTATGTATCAGTCGAAAACGAAGAAATTATATTTAAAAACAGCTTATAGAGACAAAATGGGTTACATTATTGATAACATATAATGCATATATTAGAATACAAAAATAGGGAAAAGGTGACTTGATCTGGATCTCAGATTTAAAAAGGAAAAAAATGGGGGTCCATAACCCAAGTGCCTGTGGAATATACCTGTGAAATATGAAAGCCACAGCCCCACCCACTCAAAAGTTATGGGCAAGGTGAAAGTTTTTGCAGACAAACAGACAAACAAACAGACAGATAGAGAGACAGCTACATGGACATGACAAAACTAACCCTTTAAACTTCATTTAGGGGGCATAATAAACTTATTCATGGTCTCTGTTTTAAATTCCTTTCTATGATTTATATACCCATGTAATCGAAGATTTGGGGGTATATACATGTACATGTATACATAGTTTTTGCCCCATCTGTCCATCTGTCAGGCTGTCTGTTTTCCTGCAAAAACCCTAACCAGTTGCCCATAACTTTTGAGTGGGTAGGGCTATGGCTTTCAAAATTTACTGGTTTATTCCTTGTGAAAAGAACTATCTTTTGGTACCATCAAATTTGACTTTGACCTTGGAGTTTGACCCTCTTTAACCGAAAATTCCCAAGATTTAACCATAGCCAAACTAATACTTGGCGCTATGGCTTTCACATTTCACATGTGTATTCACTTTGACAAGACCTTTCATTGGGTACAAAAACATTTTACCTTTTGACCTTAGAGTTTGGCCCACTTTTTAAAACTTTTAACCCTGACTTTAATTTTTGAGCAGTTAGTATTAGGGCTTTCATATTTCACGATTTATTAACCGAAACAAGACCTTCAATTGGGTACCAACGATTTTGACCTTTTGACCTTGACCTTGGAGTTTAACTTGCACCTCTGAAATTTCAACCCTCAACATTTGAGCTGCAGCTATATAGGGGCATCAGTGTTTCACAAACATATCTTGTTCTTCATTGAAATCCCTGTTGGTTATGGTAAGGACAATAATCTCAGACAGACGGACAGAACAAAAACGATATACCGCCGAAACTTCCTTTACAGGGGGATAATAAACTTACTCATGGTCTCTGTTTTAAATTCCTTTCTGAAAGATTTTGTTTCATTGAAGTCCATGTTATTAACGGTGAGGACAACAATCTTAGACATGGAGAAGATGGCAGCATTACCAACATCTTGTTCTGTCCAAGTACAGTTCTGCTGAAATTTAAACTTCTTTGGACATAGTGTAACAGTTGATCCATTGTCTGGGGACCTAAATAAAATCAACAAGTTTTTAAAATGTATGTATATATATATCTTTATTGATTACATATTTGTTCTGGACTCTTTTGATTGTGCATGAATTTAAAACCATGGCCTTTGCCCCAAGTGAGCTAAAACTTTATTAAATACATGTACCAGTATACTGCAGTAAAACATATGTATAACCAAGAGCCAGGGATGGAAAATTTTGATTCATTAATATCAGATTATAAACACAATTTTTCATATCCATTTAGTTCATAGTATACCGGTTTTAAAAAAAAGCCATTAGGTGGATGAGAGCCACTTTGCTTTAATTAAGTGTTGATCAATTCATTATAAGTGTGCTCTCTATGAGTGTGGTTTACTGTTCTTCACTTTGCTGTTTGACAATTAACATTTGATTGACTTACATAATTACTGAGACATTAAGAGAGGATGGTCTTTTGTAGAGTCCAAGTTCCCATTGACAGTGAAATTCCCTTTTCTCTTCATTCACTATACAACTAAAGTTGGTTACGTTCCGCACTGCTTCATCTTAAAAAAAATAATACAAGTCCATATTAGGATCATGGGGGTACATTGATTTGCCAAATTTACTTTGTTAATTAACTGGGAAATCTTCATGATCTCTTTTCTTGGAATCTCTTAATTTACTAAGCTTAATAATTATATATTGATAAAAATAATAGCATTTAGCATGTTATTACAATTTTTTCAACAATCTTTTTTGGAATTGAGAAAAGTTTATTGAGAAAAGGCCCTACTGTATACCCTTATAAATTAGGCAGAACATTTAAATATCTACTGCATTTAAAAATACATTAACAACATACAATTACTAATTCATCAAGTTTTTTTCTTTGTTGATGTGATGGACTTACACTCAGTTATCAGTGAGATTGACTTCACCATACTCTTTCCGTAATCCTTTTCATCCGTTCTCCTACAAGAGTAAGTGCCTGCCTCCTCCACATTGGTGATTTTTTTCTGGAACATTAATGTTTTTTCTCCATAAATAGAAACTGTATCTGGTGATGCCCACGACCCATGAATATCCCAGCCCAGAAGGGAAGCATTCAGACCCGAACTTTCAAACACAGTGCAGTTCAGCTCCAAAGTCTGATTCAATACTGCCTTGGGGTTCACTGGAGTTACCTCTGAAATTATATTCTGAAGTCAGTGGATCATCATTCTCACTTTTAAGGTTTGTCGCCAACTGTCTATTGAATTGTATTGGGTTACAAGAACTAGGTTATTTTCTCAAACAGTAAGTCCATAAAAGCAAAGGGGTAGGGGAAATTAAGGGACAGCAATAAAATAAATGACAAATAAAAATTTAACTGCCAATACTCAGGAGGGGTGGGATGTTCCTCTAAAATTTTAGCAATATGTTTGTGCAACATAACATGGCACATTTTCTATCCTACTGCAACAAAAAATATTGGAAAGGAGGGGGAGGTATTTGACTGCAACTGACTTAGATCGTTCAAAATCTGTCTGAACAAAAGTATATTATAATGCTCAATTAATCATTTCCTTTGTCTTGAAGTTAGAACAATTTATACACAATATTTTAAAGCTATATATGCCGTATTAGTGTTTTATTTTAAAAGTAATAAATATATGTGGTGTCTCATCAAGTTATATAAGTTATATATTTTCTGCAAATAAGGCAATTCCACTACATCACTTTTAAAAGTTATGAAATATTATTTGGTAAAAATTATTTTCTCTCCGTGTCGGATAAAAAACCGCCTCTTATTGAAATATTCATGATCACGTTGTCTCGCATGTTTACAGCAAACAATGGTCCAATCTCATGAATGAACCGAAAAGCATGATGGTCTACTACGTTTTTACTCCAAACACGTGAGCTAGGGATTGTCAATATTGAGAGCACCTCAGAGTTGGTTGCTTTTTGTACCAAGGAATAATCACGTGCAATTGTCTTTTCAATGGACATTTTCGGTTGGGTGAACTCAGCGACTATGGATAAAGAAGTGTGGAAACCATGTTGTGCCAAAATGAAATAACTAATACAAACAAATGATATAATTTGATCAATCAAAATGGTTATTAGATACATTCGATTCTGCATTTCTTAATGGTTCAAAACAACAAAAAGTATTCCACAGAATATCATGTATAAATCTGCACAATATACCGAATGCCAAAACCAGAATACTACTAAATAATATAATTATATTCTTTACATATGAACCACAGTATTTCTGACCCCTTGAAAATAATGTAAAAAATCTTGGAAGTAGGTCAGCATTGGCTCGGGCTAATTCGAAAGTGAAATTTGGAGTTTGGCAGTAAATTGTAGTGAATGAATAAAATTTAGTAGTGAAAGATATTGGAACCTACTAGTATTTTACTTGTCAGATTTCTTCGAGCTAGTTGATTTTTATTCTAACTGTTCTATCCCCCTACTCACTTTAAAAAAAAAACCGATGCTACCTACCTGAATTAATTTTTCTTAATGGTGTTCATCGAAATGCTTGGTTGTGCCCTCAAACTGGAATAGTTTTTAGAGGCCTGGAATTCCTTGACCAATTTTATTTTAATAGCCAAACTATATTTCTAAGAAGGCAAGATGTATGGTATGTAAGTTTCATCTATATATGTTATGTAGTTCATATTAAAAAACCAAAAGGGAAAATTGACGATATCCCATTCAAGGTGTAAACATAGCAGTTTAAATTACTTACTCCATACTCCATACATTGTACTTGACATAAAATATTTTTTGCGCATAATGCGCTCCATACTGAAGATCCGTAAATGTTCACCCAACCGAAAATGCACACTAGTAGTACAGCACGGGGAAACTCTAAACAAACGGACCTGTACAATGGAGTGGGGAAAACTTTAATTTACATCATTGTTAATCATTTGTATGCAAATATGAGCATGGAATTAGTAGATAATAATGTACATAATGCATCAAGTCTTTCTGAGAGCGATTTAAAAAACTAGCCTTTTTGAAAAACACACGTAGTATTTTATGTAGTAACCCATAAATGCATTAAATGCAACTCATTGAGCTGATTGGTCTATTTGTGTCCCTCACTGAACAGACGTCACAAAAAATATTTTCCTCGACCTGATTATTCTCGCGATGCTTTTCCCGCGCACATGCGCAGATCCAGAATAAACGTCAGTCCTTTATAAATATGCATGAGAATATCGTGTTCTTCTCCGGACCAGTACTTTGTTAATACCGAATAAAATTTCGTCGAATTTGCAAGAATGCTTCATTTTTGGTAGCTTATCATACTCCAGAAATTTTTGTTCGGTTTCAGCTGTGCAAAAATACTGTTTAACACGGCATACATATCTTTAACAAAAAACTGCTAAATAGACAAGATTTACACCCCTTTAATTATATTCCTACAGTAAATTTCATAATAGGAATTTGAGAAAATTATAATGTTTCCCCAACAACAGATCTTGTTTTGTTTGTTTGTTTGTTTGTTTGTTTGTTGTTTTTTTTTTGATTACTTTTTTCCTTACATACTAGAGTGTATTTGTAGGAGGAGTAGCATTTTGAAAGAATTTCTCAGAAAATTCTATTTTTAGTAACCACGGCAACACCGCTCATTGAAATCAAAAACCGATAAACAGAATTATGTATCTTAATGTAGTCTACTTGTGTGCCAAGCTATATTGAAATCAGACCAAAACTGTAGGAGGAGTAGCATTTTGAAAGAATCTCACAGAAATTTCTATTTTTAGTAACCACGGCAACACCGCTCATCGAAACCAAAAACCGATATACAGAATTATGTATCTTAGTGTAGTCTACTTGTGTGCTAAGTAATATTGAAATCAGACCAAAACTATAGGAGGAGTAGCATTTTGAAAAATTGTTTACAGACAGACAGACGGACAGACAGACAGCTAGACGGACGGACGCCGGACGCATTACTATCGCATAAGCTCTTCTGGTCTCTGACTAGTAGAGGTAAAAAAATTAACAAAAGGCCCAAGGGCCTTGAATCGCTCTTCTGATAAATTGTACAATCTATCACTTCTATATAAGCCTCCAACTCTGACTATCCTAAGATCCAAAATGCATCAACTGATAAGGTTTGATGATTCTTGGCCAGTTAGGACTGAAAATATTTCAATATAGCTATAAAATACCATAAGTAGGTCATAGTGACCTACTTTTTGATTGAAATTTTGTGAGGACTCATGATGCATTAATTGACAAAGATTGATGATTCCATGCCAATAAATACTTGAGATATTCAGAAGTAGGTCACTATGACCAACTTTTTGGTAGACATTCTCCAAAAACCAAGGGTGCATCAACTGACAAAGTTTGCCATCATTCCATGCCAATAAGTACCAAAGATACTTAAATATAGCCATAAAATATTTGAAGTAGGTCACCGTGACCTACATTTTGGTCATCATTCTCAAAAAACCCAAGATGCATCAACTGACCAAGTTCGATGATCTCCAAGCCAATAAGTACCCGAGATACTTACATATGTCAAAAGTAGGTCACCGAGACCTACTTTTTAGTTGTCATTCTGGAAACCCAAGATGCATTAGTTGAAGAAGCTGACAAAGTATGATGATTCTAAGCCAATAAGTACCTAGGATACTAAAGTATATCCATAAAATGTCGAAAGTAGGTCATATATCCAAAGACCTAAGAAGCATCAACTGACAAAGTTTGATGATTCTAAGGCAATAAGTACCTTAGATATTCAGAAGTAGGTCATTGTGACCAACTTTTTGGTCAACATTCTCCAAAAACCAAAGATGCATCAACTGATAAAGTTTGACGAATCTAAGGCAATAAGTACCTGGGATACTTAAATATAGCCATAAAATGTCAAAAGTAGGTCACTGTGACCTACTTTTGGTCATCATTCTTCGAAAACCCAAGATGCATCAACTGACAAAGTTTGATGATCCTAAGCCAATCAGTACCTGAGATATTCAAAAGTAGGTCACTGTGACCTACGACATTCTCCGAAAACCCAAGATGCATCAAGTGACAAAGTTTGACTGTTCTAAAGCAATAAGTACCTGAGGAACTGAAATATAGCCATAAAATGTCAAAAGTAGGTCACCGTGACCTACTTTTTGGTCATTATTCTTTGGAAACCAAAGAAGCATCAATTGACAGTTTGATGATCCTAAGCCAATAAGTAACTAAGATACTAAAATATAGCCATAAAATGTTAAAAGTAGTTCACCATGACCTACATTTTGATTAACGTTTTTCGCAGACCCAATATGCATCTTCTGATAAAGTTTGACGATCATAGTCCTTATAGTGTCCAAAATATGTCTTAAAATCAATTTGAAAACAAATGCCCGCAAAATTACAAAAGTAGGTCAACTTGACCTACTTTTTCATAAAAATGTTTTGAGGCCCCAAGATGCATCAACTCACAAGATTTTCTGTTTCTAAACCTTTCAGTGTCTGAAATAATGGGATTAAATGTTTTAAAAAAGATTAGCCATAAAACTTAAAAAGTAGGTCATGGTGACCTACTTTTAAGTTATCATTGTTTGAAGACCCAAGATGCATCAACTGACAAAGTTTGATGATCATAGGCCTTATAGCCAATAAGTACCTAAGATACTAAAATATAGTCATAAAATGTCAAAAGTAGTTCACCATGACCTACATTTTGATTAACGTTTTTCGCATCTTCTGACAAAGTTTGACAATCATAGGTCTTATAGTATCCAAAATATGCCTTAAAATCAATTCGAAAACAAATGCCCGCAAAATTACAAAAGCAGGTCACCGCGACCTACTTCTGAGTTAACATGATGTGAAGTCCTAACTTACAAGAATTGATGATCCTAGTCTTAATAATAAGCAAAATATAAACGTTTTTATTAAGTGTAAATTTAGATCAACTTTGAAGTGACCTTGACACCACTTTGACACCACGCCCTTTGCCTCAGGGTAATGCCCGTGCAAATTTAAATCTTCAGCATATCCTGATGCTTGTATGTAAGTTTGGTGAAAATCTGCCCGGTGGTTATGGAGAGGAAGATTTTTTAAGAACCAGTACTTTTGGTTTTATTTTCCTGATTATATCCCCTTGTTTAAGGGTCCCAACTGTAGTTTTATAACAAATGGTAGCCCTTGGGCCAAGGATACCCTGTGACAAACTTGACAACGATTGGCTAAGGGCATCGTCGCAAACCACGGCCAATATGTACGATCTTCTCCATTCTGGCTGTGGTTGCATGAGACGAGATTTTCTCGTAGCTCATTCAAGTATTGACCAATGCGATTGAAGCATAGTCGGAAATTGACCTTTCATGCGACCTTTCAAAACCCAATCACAGTGTACGAAATACTGCTGATGTAATTTGTTGATTTCAATTGCGATGGAAACAAAACTTGTCATTGACTGAATATGACGTCACAATAGAGAGGTGTAAATATTCAAGATTACGACACTTTTTGTGATCAAGCAGCCACGGGTAGGAGAGAGCTATATGTGGACTCCGGACCGTGACTTGAGACGATGGGCCAAGGGATTCTTGAGTTATGGCCCATATTCTGAAAAGTTTACGCACACCCCACGAATGGCCATAGCAGTAGCTCTTTGAGCCTTTGGCTGAAATGACTGGGTAAGAGCAATATGCAAGTTTTGAGATTATCTCCCTTGGTGTGCTCTTACGTTGAAGAGGGGAGTTTCTTTACCGCGTAAAAAAACAGGTGGGACAGATAATTTATGCATTGGATATATTGCATCATCGATATAGTGCTATCATAACTACATGATTGTCACGATGCACTCTTCAACTCCACAATAACCAAAGTAATGTAAAGGCGCCATTTTTTAAAGCAAAAAATTGAAACAAATAAAATATCAATGGATGTCAGACTTTTCAGACGAGGAGAGTTACAATCTCGAAACTCACATATTTTGACCGTTGTTGACGGGTCGGTCGGAGTACATCAAAAAAGATTTTTTTTATTGTTGGCCCAACAATTGTCAAATATTATATATTGCGTAAAACAAAGCCTAACAGGAGGAGTTGTACATGCTCTTGCAAACAAGCAGCATCTAAAATCAAAAAATGATTAAATTACAACACCACAGAAACAATAAATAATTTAAAAGAGAGGACATTTCCTTTTTTTTTTACTAAAGAACATGAAGAATGTGCATATAAAACTTCATCATGTTCATCAAAACAAACATATACCTCCGACAGCAATGTCATCACCATCGAAGATAAATCCACCAGCTGAAGAGCACAAACTCAGAATCAGAGAAAATCCAAACACACCACTGAAATGGCCCCTCATCATTATTCCAATGCAGCCAGATTGTTACTTTCCACTTCCTCCAAGTCTGCACAGTGTAAACCTATAGGGTTTGAGGCAATTATTTTAAACAAGAAAATAAAAATTAATTAAAATGTACTCGTAATAGAGTGCACTGACCTATACTTCTATTGGGAAGTAGAAGTGTAATACTTTTCCGTAAAAGTAAACAAACAAGTTAATCGGATTAAAGACTATATAACATACCAGGATATTTATCTATCTACGGACATCAATCCAGGAACAATAACTGAACATTACTTTAAAAAGTCTATATTAAAGTTATACTGACTTTTGCCTAACACAAGGACACTGACCACCAGTTTACAAAAACTTATGCTTAGATTAAAAACTGTTTTGTAAAAATTCCAGGATTTAGACCCAATTTATTGAATAACTTGTTTACTTAAATCAAGACTTGTTTATCGTATATGTAAATGAGCATTATGTATTGTACATTATAAAAGTGACAGTCTAACTTCACCAGGAGCTCTAGCTCACTCTCTTGCTCTCATCTGGGCCGCACTTCTCAGAGCGGGGCTCTTCGGAGCAACGTTCTAGGAGGGAGAAATACTATACGATCACGAGCCACTTTACGATCGGACGATTAGAATCTTTGCTCTTAACCACTATACGATCATTGTTTGTATTCCCTAATAATTTCACAACTGTTAAATAAACTCTTAGGAAAAAACTTTTTCCTTGTCATTGGTTCACAAAACCAAATTTGGTGCCGTGACCAGGATGTGCGAGGTACTGGAAAATATCAAACTTGGAAAGAAAACATGGGAAGACAGGAGAAAATGGTGATGAAGTTAACGTCAGGTTCGTTGTCGCAGTTTTATGGAATTTGAATATTGACTAAATTTGTTTCGAAGTGTCTACCCAAATTCTGACAATATTGCAACAATTATCATGGAAACATTGGATTTTATCGTAGACTGCATTTGAAGCATATTTTTTATATGACGTTGGTACATTGTATGATACCAAGGGCGGAGAAAACGTCTGATCCAGTGTCTTTGGATACGTCATATGTGTTTGTACTGATCCTGAATTAATTCGCTCAGAGAATGCGATTGTGAAGAGGATAGTACTATGTTTATGTTTTAAGTATACTACTGTGGAAGTCACAAAAAGTCGTGGAAATGAATAATACGACAGGTGATAGCAGTCAAATAGACGATGTTTACAAATGAAGACGACGCTGGAAACTAATAATGTAATTGATTGCTGTTGCAATATTTTACGAATTTATCATTGCTTTTGTTAATTACAATTTCCGATCTACGAGAATATAAACTGTGAGACTTAACTTCAATAAGACGAACAAGGTATACTTATGACTTTTTATAATCACCGGAAGTGTTTCCATTCCCTGAACTGATAATGTGTAACAACTTGCATCACCATCATCCTGCTTAAGCCAAGGAACCGAAAAGTACACATCCAATATGAGTGAAATAAAAGTGAACTTTCGTATGTCCATAATTTAATATTATTATAACTGTATAATCCACCATATTCGGTATTAATCCATTTGATACTATATAGCAGTAAAAAAAACTTGTAAAAGAAGAAAAGAACCTTAAAACACCTTTTATATCCAATGACCATGATGAACATATTGCGATTAGTCATGTGAACCGTTTGTGAGTGTTCCCGATTTTGCAAAGGATTTACACAATCTGTTTCCTATCACATCCATGTGAACCGAGTCAAAATAATTCTCTTGTTTTAGTTCAGAAATTTTCTGCTGAAATTTCTTATTACATGGGGACGAATGTAAATCTATAGGGTTTGAGGCAATTATTTTAAACAAGAAAATAAAAATAAGCTAATTAAAATGTACTCATGAAGGAGTGCACTGACCTATACTTCTATTGGGAAGTACAAGTGTAATACTTTTCCGTAAAAGTAAACAAACAAGTTAATCGGATTAAAGACTATATAACATACCAGGATGTTTATCTATCTACGGACATCAATCCAGGAACAATAACTGAACATTATTAAAGTCTATATTAAAGTTATACTGACTTTTGCCTAATACAAGGAAACTGACCACTTGTTTACAAACACTTATGTTTAGATTATAAATTGTTTTGTCAAAATTCCAGGATTTAGACCCATTTATTGAATAACTTGTTTATCGTATATGTAAATGAGCATTATGTATTGTATATTATAAAAATGACAGTCTAACTTTACCAGGAGCTCTAGCTCATTCTCTCGCTCTCCTCTGGGCCGCACTTCTCAGAGCGGGGCTCTTCGGAGCCACATTCTACAAGGAATCGTGAGACACTATACGATCACAAACCACTTTAGGATTAGTGTCATCTCCTTTGCTCTTAACCACTATACGATCATTGTTTGTATTCTCTAATTATTTCACTACTGTTAAATAAACTCTTAGAAAAAACTTTTTCCTTGTCATTGGTTCACAACAGATATGATCTACATCTGGTCGATTAGCCAGAAAGGAAATAAAACTTCCGAATGCTGAAAATAAAAAAAAAGAATTGTAGAATTACTTAATATCTACATGTATTTTTATATATAGTATATACCAACAAATGCACTTAATAGCTTTAAAAACAGTATAGGGTTAAATATATACACTGTAAATAGTGACAAAAATTATGACAAATCTTAATTGGTTACATGTACTCATGGTACTCTCAGAATGGAAGGAAATTTCTTGTATCAAAGCACATTCACAAACTTTTTGACAAAGGAAATGGCTCTTGTCAAATATGAATGCCCATAATCCAAAACATGATTACCAATGTTATTTTTTGGAAAATAGGTTAAAGTTATATAGAGGTCAATTGGTCAAATTTCAATATCTGCTTTAACACAGTATTTTAAGAAAGGTTCTATAATTGCAAGTAAATACATACATCTGGAATGTGGTACCTATATGTCTTCTAATTCAAAAGTTATGACCAAAGTTAAAGTGTTTGTGACAGACACTGGCTAGGATTGAGTGACAGCTAGCCTATAGACAGACAGAGAGACAGACAAAATACATTTAATGTATGTCTTCTTGATTTTACATTAAGCACAACAGAAGTGTTGAAAGTCAAATGACTATATTTATAGCTTTGTTTCATATTACAACCTCAACTTCAACAAGAGGCATATATCCAGGTCTTGATACATATGAAGACAGAACTTCACTTCATTAGTTCTTTATAGTTGATATGTAGAGTTGTCCTGTATGGTTGGACATTTTATTTAATACATTCATAAGATTTTATATCCTTACTAATAACAAGATTTACCCTTTATTTTTGGGAGCATATGATTATGTTATATATGGTTGGACATTTTCATTTTACATATCCTGCATGTACAAACAGTTTGTATCTTAGTACGATGGTTATTTGAACATATACAGGTTACATCAAAACGCATGCATCTCCACATGCAGCTGATTCTTGGGTAATGGTTATTGTCTGTTTAAAGAAAAAAGGATATAGAAAGTTCTATGGATCTTAATTGGCCGAAAAAAAAAATGTATTACAATATTACCCTGACAGGAATTATTCTCAATTGTTTTGGCTGTTGAATTGTGGGACTCATTAAAGAATTCATTTAACAAGATATTCAAAGAAGTGCTTGCTGATATTTAATCATACCAATCTATATTTTACAACTCTCCAAGCACAGCCTGTATTTTGTTATATGCAGCTTTGGCTCTTATTGCAAAGTAATTGTACATATTGTATGGGCATGCTATAAATTGTTTTAAGGGTTTCATTCAGAGTTATCAATTGACCAAATGCGCTAAAGTGGTCTCCTTGGGACAGGTTTATATGTCTTGTGTCTTACATGTATCTATTCAGTTTAGGAAAATCATCAACTCTATTTTACATGGCAGCATGGTTATACCATCTTTAAATGCCAAACATCCCCGATTTCTTGAACCATTTATTAATCAGCAAAATGTTAAGTAGTACAAAAAGCTTGCTAGGTCAGCTGTTGCAGGCAGCCTATTACTTTTAATATTCGAAATTAAACAATAAATAAATAAATAAATAAATAGTGGCAATACCATAGATAGCCAATAACTAGTAACGGGCATTTTGGTACATGGTTATATTACTTTTTGTATTTTATCTTTGCTGAGAGTAAGGGAAATCGCGGTTTATTTAGATTCAAACCTATACTTCCTGCTTTGATAAAATATTCATTTTCAGGCATGACAAAAAAGGAGTTTAAAAGATTCTTACAATTATTCAACTTTCAATTCAATTTAGGTAAAATAAAAGTCTATCTATAAATAGATTTCCAACCCAATTGCAGCTCTAGTGCTGAGTCAGGTATGTGAAATTAGCTGGAAAGGACCCCCTTTATGTTTCAGCAGCACCTTCAACACATTTTCAGGGTTTTAAGATTCACAAAATAAGAGACATGGGATGCATGGTTGAAACTGGTGTCATTCCATAGTTACATTAGGGTCCTTGATTTCCCAGCCTATTAGTACATAGATGTTTTCGTTTAGGGTGGTAGAAAATCTGAGTGTAAAGGAAAAATGTTTGATATAGTATCCTTTATTTTGTTTCTGTATTATTTAAATGTATTTAATGTTTTAATATATTTAAGGGGATTCTGTGTGAGGCAGTATCCTCTATTTTTCTGCATCCTTTTTAGAATTAAATTGTTAATACATATTATCTCATAAACATGTCAATTTCATGATTTAAATATCATTATAATGCAGGAGAAAGCTTGATGTTGCATAATTTATCTGTCTTCACTTTATACTACACTTACATGTACACGAAGTATTCGGTGACTATCTGAGGTGGCATTGAATACATTCGCTGTTGAGTATCATATGGATGATTTGTGTAAATATTTCATATCACTTTGAATTATTTAAATGCTTTTGTCAAGATATGCAAAATCCATATGAGATACATTTTATTAACAACCGTTGAATTATTAGTTTTAGAACCGAATCATTTATTATCCATCTTTAGAATTCAATTGATCTTGGTTGTTAATATTTTTGCTAT